ACAAGTGTGGGTGAGTATGTGGAGAAAACACACCCCTTGTGCATTATTGGTAGGAATGCAAGTTGATACAGCCAAGTATGAAGGGTCCTCAAAACATTAAAAATAGGGCTATCATATGATTCTGCAATTTCACTCCTGGGTTGATATCCAAAGGAAATGAAAAGAGAATATCAAAGATATATCTGCACTACCATTCATTGCAGCATTATTTACAACAGCCAAAATATCGAGACAACTTAGTGTTGGTCAGCAGATGAACGTATAAAGAAGATGGGGTATATGTACATACAGTGGAATATTATTCAGCCATGAGAAAGAAGAAAATCCTGCCATTTGAGATAACATAGAGGGACCTTGTTATTTCACATTAAGTTAAATAACTCAGAGCAAGACAAATACTGCATGATATCACATAATGTGAAAACCCCATCCCCAATTCAAACTCTTAGAAATATAAAGCAAGAAAGTGGCTGACAGGAGCTAAGGGGTGGGGGACGTAGAAAAAGGTTGATATGGATGCAAACATTTAGCCGGATGGATCAAGCCTGAGCATCTACTGTAAACATGGTGACTGGAGATACTAACACTGCACTTTATGATTGAAATTTTAAAAAAGTTTAGCAAGTTTGTAAGCTATAAGATCAATACACAAAAACCAATTGTATTTCTACATACTAACATCTGAAAATGAAGTTTGAGAGAAAGCTATGTGAGGTGCTAGATATGTTAATTAACTTGACTGAAAATCATTTCACCATGTATATCAAATTATCACATTGTACACTTAAACAGATATAATTTATTTGCCAATTATATCTCAGTAAAACTGGAAAAAAGGAAAACGGTTCCATTTACAAAAGCATAAATAAGGACAAAATAATTTTAACAAAAGAAATGTAAGACTTTTACAAGGGAATCTATAAAACATTATTGAAAGAAATTAAAGAAGATCTAATTCAATGGATTGGAAGATTTAACATAAGACGGGAATACACTCAATGTGATGTAGGGAGTCAATGAAATGTCTATCAAAACCTCAGATTGCTTTTTTTGCAGATATTGACAAGCTGATCCTATAATTCATACGGAAGTGAGAGGGAACTTGAATAGCCAAATAACCTTAAAAAAGAGGAACAAAGTTGGGGTTCATACATTCTGGTTTCAAAATGTACTTCACTACAAAGCTACAGAAATCAGAACAGTACGATAACATGATAAGGACAGACATAACAGATCAATGGAATAGACTTGAAAAGGGTAATTTATGATCTATACGTTTTCGACAAAGTTGCCAAGACAATTCAGCAAATGGTGCTTAACAGCAGGGGATCATTTGAAAGAATTAAGTTAGATTCCACTTCACACCATGTACAAGAATGACCTCAAAACTGATCATATTTCTCAAGTTAGAAACTAATATTTACACTAAAAATCTTAGAAGAAAATACAGAAATAAATCTTAATGATCTTTGGTTAGGCCATGGTTTCTTAGATTTGACCACAAAAGAAAAAGCATCAAAAGAAAAAAAATTAGATAAATTGAATTTTATAAAAATTAAATCTTTTATGCTTCAAAGGACACTATCAAGAAAGTGAAAAGGCAACCCACAGAATAGGTGAAAATATTTGCAAATTATATATCTGATAAGGATCTGATATTCAGAATATAGCTAAAGAACTCTTACAAGTAAAAAAAAAAAAAAAAAAAAAAGACAAAAACCTAATTAAGAACAGGCAAAGCATTTAAATAGACATTTCTGAAGAAGATATCCAGACAAATGGTCACTAATTAGATGAAAAGATGCTCAACACCATGAGTCATTACAGAGATGCTTATTGAAACCATAATAAACACATGACTGTAGTAGAAAAGACAGGACATAACCAGCATTGGCGCGGATGTGGGAAGTCAGAACACTCCCAGTGGTGGGGGGAATGTAAATGGTGCAGCCCCTTTGGAAAGCAGTTTATTAAGAAGTTAAACATTGAGCTACCATTTAACCCTGCAGTTCCACCCCTGGGTGTAGATCTAAGAGAAATGAAAATACATGTTCACCCAAAAACTTGTACATGAATGTTCATAGCAGCATTATTCATTATAGGCACAAAGTAGAAGCAACCCAAATGTCCATCGACAAAAGACTAGATAAACACAATGTAGTATATACAAATAATAGAATATTATTCAGCCACAAAAAGGAATGAAATAAAGGTACATGTTAAACCATGAATAAACTTTGAAAACATTATGCAAGGGAACAAAGCAAGTCACAAAAGACCATGCCTTACATGATTCCGTGTACATGACAGGTCCCGAAGGAAATCTGTGAAGACATACAGTAGATTAGTGGTGCTTAGGGTATAGTTGGGGTGGGGTGGAAAATGACTGTTAATGTTTCTTTTTTTATTTTTATGAAAATATTGTCAACTTAGATTGTGGTGAACTTGATAATGAATACACCCAAAACCATTTGAATGGGTGAATTTTGTGGAATGTGAATTATCTCAATAAAAATATTTTGAAAACTAAAAGCAAAAAGTCCCTTCAGACCGATGGGGAGAGCGGCTGTGGGTGACCCCAGGGCCCGGCTGCTGGGGCTCCTCTGTGGCTTCTAGGCTGGAGGTGGGCGCTGCGCTGCCCCAGGCTCGGCGCTGGGATCTGGAGACGGAGGCTTTGGGATCAGCACGGGCCTTACCCCGGAGGTCAGTCTTGGCGGTGTTTCCCTACTCTGGGCCTTTCTCCCGTGAGGCCCCCACAGTAGCAGAGAGGTGCGTTAAACACTGACTAGGGTGATTTGTAATCCGAAGAGCACTTTCTCGGTTAAGTGGTCATACCGATCTCGAGAGAAATTCTGTTGTTTCCACTTAACAGGGAAACTGAGACCAGAGAGGTGAAGGGGGCTGGCCAAGGTTAGTCAGCGTGTTAGTGGAAGACCGACTGAGTCCCACCTCAATGTTCTTTCTACTTCCAGTCACTCTGTGTCACACGTACAAAACGTCTGGCCTGCTTTCTGTCGAGAAGGGGAGCCGGGCCACCCCCTGCTCAGTCCTTCCAGCTCGCTCTTAGCGGGGATGGGGCCGGGCAGCATCTGAGCAGGGACAGCAGTGGGTGAGGGTGTGGCTGTCCTGGGCTGAGAGTCACACGTGTTCATCTGCTTGGTGTTCATCCGCTCATGTGCAGGTGCCAGTGTCTTGCTTGGTCACTGATAGAGGGGAGGGTTCTGGTCTATTAAATGATTTCATCTCAACCCTTTCTTTTCTTTTCCCAGCAATAAGAGTGTTTGAAAAGTTTACTTTGCTAATCTCAGTAAGATCATAATCATTTGGGTCTCTAAAGCTGTAGCAGACTCTGCCTTAACCTAGAGGCACCAGGAAGCCTCGATGTCCCCGAGTGACATGCACAGATGTCACCTGAACTCCCAGTGCCCCCTCACCCCTGAGACACAGCCGAAACAATGCTCTTGGGTTTACAGAAATGCTTACTAGACGAGATCTGACAGCTCTGACGTGATCCATCTGGGGGTGCTTCTTGCATGTACCCTGGTCACCTGGTGCTCCACTGCCTGGGCTTCTGGGAACAGAGCAGGGTCTGTAGAGGCCGCTGCACCTGTGCTTGCTCCCCCCACACCCCTTCTGCACAGGACAGGTGCGAGAGCCTGGGCTTCTCCTCACCCGGGCCCCTTCTCTGCACAGGTGGCCTGCCTAGGACACCTCCAAATTAGGAACTGGGCACGACTCCCACCCACCCACACCCACGTTCCATATTATTCACTCTCCCTTGACTGTGAGTCTCAGATCCGGAAGCTCCTCCTCTGGCAGCTAAAGGAACAGCTCCACTACTCCACCATGGAGGGCTTACGGAGACGTGTTTGTCCTTTCTTCACCTGGTCCTGCGCAGGAACTGGGTTCCTGCAGGAAGGGACCTGCTTATCTGGGACACTTGCTGCATGTAGGCACCACACTGATCCGAGCCGCTGGTCGGCTATGCCACACACTTGCAAACTAACGTGTAGGGAATGTTGCAAAGCACACAACCATGAGCACACATTTCTTATCTAGGCTGCAGAGCATGCGCTCCGAGGCTCGCTCTGCAGAACCTTCGTGTTTGCTCACACGATCGAACTCAGGAGCCGTGGCACTGTCCTTGGGTCGCTCGTTACTTAAGATGGTCTATGAAGAAGAGTGTGTTTGTCTTCCTTGCAACAATCCCACGGGCCAGAGGACACTTTTCAGCAATGAAAGCTATATTGCAAGTCCTTTAACTGAGGACTATCTGATTCGGATTTCTTGGGTCAATCTGGGTCACCTGTCACCTCCATGGCCTGCCTGCTCCCTTTCCTCCTGCCCTACCCCTGCCCCTCCTCTTCCCTCCTGGTTTGAAGGACATCTATTTACCACCTGTCCTGCTACCCGGGACCTAAGTGTGGCTCGTCCCTGTGCTGTACGGGTCTTCAGGGCACCCCCTCTGTGGTCCTTGCACGGAGCCGGCACTGTCTTGTGCTGTGGCACTCACTGCTGAAGACTGCCACTGGCTTTCAGGATCTGTGGAATCTTGGAGAAGTTCATGTGGTGGGGATGCAGAGAGACCCCAGCGATGCTTCTGGAAGGAGCACCACTCAGCTGGCCTGCTGTCCCTGCAGAGAGCAGAGCGGCACTGCTTCCCGGAGGGGCTGTGACTCCTGCTGCCCGGCCCAGAGCACACAGAGAATGCAGCCCACTGCTGGGCACAGCTCCCCTGCCAGGGGCCTGCAGCCTGGCCTGCCGCTCCATCCCAGCAATCTCAGTTGGGGGATGGGACTTGTGGCCACCTTCAGCGCCTGCCCAGGGACATGCATAAGTCGCCAGCGCATGCTTGTGCCTTCAGAGCTGGGATGCTGCCTCAGAAATGGGACTGGCCAGGAGCCCTTGCTGGACCCCGTGTCAGGAGCAGCAGAAGCCTGGTGTGAAGTGGGGGTGATGATCTCTTGGGGGAAAGCACAGGGAGTCCCCCACCCTGTGTCCGGGAGGAGGAACCCCGGCTGGCTTGAGGCAGCGTGGGCTTCATCTGCGCTCCTGTAAGGAACTGGGCACGCGTCCCACCTCCCATACCCACGTCCCCTACTATTCAGCTCCGGACCAGCATGCCACTCGATGTCCCGAGGCCCAGTGGAGGATGTCTGGTCACCCCTAGAGGAGCTGACCTCCGCAGACCCCGGGCTCCGGAACTCCAGGCCGGGCGTTGCTCGACCCTTACTGAGCAAGCAGCTCAGTAGAGGCTGGTGCCCGAGAGAGAGGCTAGGAAGAGCGGAGCCTGGTGGGGAGGGATGATGGGGGTGGTGTCGGAGGCGCTCTCCTCTGGCTCGCTGTCCTCGTCGTCCAGGCCTTCGGTGAGTGCAGGGATGATCCTGACCGCACTGTCCTCAAAGTGCACCTGCTTCTTCGTGGCCACAGAGTCCGCGGGCTCCAGAGTCAGCTCGGCCAGGGCCTCTGGGCGCTGGAGGGCGCTGGGCTTCCTGGCCCCCTTTAGGATGCACTTCATGTGGACGAGGAGGGAGCTGGGCCCCTCCTTGAGGGCTCCGGGGAAGGTGTAGGTTTGCTCGGTGTCCCCTGAGCCGGTGGTGCTCCTGGCGCTGGCGGAGGGGTCTGTGTACCTCTCCTGCGGGGCCGGCGCTTCAGGGGCCGCTCTGCTCTTCTTCCGCTTGCTCAGCAGGAAGTAGGCCAGGCCGGTGACGATGAGCATGGAGCCTGGAGGAGATGGGCGGTCAGGGTGCTGATGTGCCCCGGAGAAAGCCAGAGGCTGTCCGAGCCCACCGTTCCGAAAGGCCCGGCAGCACGCCTGGCGGCACGCCCAGGCTGCCTGTGCGCCAGCCCTCACACCCAGCTTGTCCTCACAGCCACAGCTACTCCAGGGCAGCACTGACGCCTGGCTGAGGCGTATCAGCAGGGCCAGGGCCGAGCTCCGGCCCGCCCCGGGACTGTGAGTAGGGCACCCTGTGCCCAGGCTCCATCCGGCGGACAGCCGACCGCGGTGTGGCCTGGGCAGCCTCCCTCACCCAGCTCATTGGAGCTGGGCTGGGGACACCTTCAGGGGGTCTGGACTCTATGTTGGACAACAGGTCCCACCTGCTGGGCTGGACTTTCTTCCTATCCAAGATGTGGGAGACTGTCTTCCCTCTACTGTCCCCAGTGAACACAGAGGGAAGTGCAGACATGGGGGGAGGGGCACAGCATCGGCCCATTCCTGGCCCCTCCCGCAGCCTCCAGGCCAGAGGGTCCCCGCCGGGAGCCTTGCCCTGTCCAGGGGAAGAGGCTGTCCTTCCTGCCGGGGCCGGAGCCTGGCGGGCCTCTCACTCGCCAAGGAGCCGGAGGTCATGGCTTGCTCTAGCCTCATGCCGAATCCACTCAGGAGTCCACTTGGGCGTCCACACAGAGTGGCCTGGAGAGGCTAGGACAGGGAGAAACCGCAGGGAGGAAAAGGAGGCCCGGCCTCCCGCTCCTGTCCCCCTGAGCAGTTTGCTTCCTGGCATTTTAGGTGGGTCATGAGGAGGGGCGCAGTTTTCATGGGAAGGAGGGCGGGGGGCTAGCAGAAAGGTCAGAACAGCACCCAGGCGGGGGGCACTGAGGCCTGGCTCCTGGATCAGGGGGTGGGCTGGCCAGCGGGCCTGTGAGGTGGCGTGGGAGCCGCTCTTGCGGCCGTGAGGGTCCTTCGGGGTCGGCGTGCTTTCCAAATCAGGCCGAGAAGTTTGCACCTCAATCCGTAGGCACTGGGAGACACGGACGACTCTGGGCAGAGACATGACCATGTCACCCTCTGAAAGCTCAGTCCATACAGAGACTTCGAACGAAAGGCCAGGTCCCTTGTGGGGACGCCTGCTTGGAAGATGTACTTCTCAGCACACGCCTGCCATGTGACCAGCACGGCGGATGTCTGACGGGGCCTCATCACCACGACCTGCGCCAGAGCGGGCACTGGGGCTAGTGGGGCCCTGGAGCCAGGGTCACTGCAGGCCGAGGAGCCAGGACTCGCCCCTCCTGCCCAGCCTCCTCGTGGTGGGGCCTGCCTGCCTGCCTCCTGGAACTCCTACCTGGGATGGTCACGTGCCAGACCAGGACAGGGTGTAGGAAGCAGGCCACGGACAGCAGCAGGTAGGCCAGGAACTTCTGGAAGCAGCCCAGCCAGCGGGCCCTCTGCCGTGCTCTGTAGGCCAGGGACCCTGGCTGACAGCTGGGAGGAAGGAGTTCAGGATTAGCAGGAAGCAGGGAGCCACTCAGGAGAGCCCCAGCCATTCACAAGCTGTGGCCTCTGGCTGAATACCCCGGGGTGGGAGTTAGGGGTCTTGCCTGTACCCCTCCAGAGGAACTGCGAAGGCAGTAGAAAGGAGAGTGGGCGACTCAGGGGTCCACCGGGAAGCCCACAGTGAAGGGGAGCAGTTGTGCAGTACCGGAGACACCTGGCTGGGATGGTTGTGCGGACTGTGCACTGCACAAGGGGCCCGCTACAGGGGTGAGGGCTGGAGTCCAGCTGCACCCCGCTCAGAGTCTCGCCTGAGCATGGAATGGCATTGGCCCAGGGGCTCCTTACTGGCATCCAGAGTCCATACATGGGCCGGGCAGAGGCCTGAAACAGCACATTTCTTCAGGGTTGCTGCCTCCAGGTTTCAAAGGAGGAGAGCACTTACCTTTAGGTCCATCTCCTTCGTCCTCTGAGCTGGCCTGGAGCAGGGGTCTGCGCGGATGCAGCTGCCCAGGCCAGCTTTGGGGAGTGACGGGGGACGGGGGGGGGGGGCTGGGGGGTTCACATTTGGCCCAGGGCAGGCCCTCTTCCCCACCCCACTGCCATGGCTCCTTGGTTCCCCCTGGTGGTCATTCTTTTGTAACCAGACCCTAGCGGGGCGTGGAGGGGTCCAGAGCTGGTAAAGTGCCCCTTTAGGCCTGGGGCTCCTCCCTCCCCTGCCCCTAGAAGTGGCGAGGCTCCCTTGGCAGCGGGGCCACTCACTGGAAGCAGATGGCCAGCAGCTGAGCCGCGAAGTAGGCCCCTTCAAACACGGCGACAGTGGCTCCTGTGAACCTGCGGTGGAGACAGGTGAGGGAGGCCCGGCATCCTCCGCCCTCCCTTCATTTCTCCGCGGGCTGTCTTCTCACAGCACCTTGGCCACCAGGGTCTCTACGCCGAGCAGTGACCAGAAGTGGCGTGACCTAGTCCTGTTACCCAACCAGCATCGCCAGGAGCTGTCCCGATGCCAGGGCCTGTCCTGGGCTGGGCTGCGGCGGTGAAGGGGTTGGGGCCTGGGGCCTAGAGATAGGTGAGGAGGGAGCTGCAGGCCCCTTGAGAGGTCACCTCGACCCCAGCACCCTTGAGGGGACACTGGCAGATGTTCTCCCAGGTGTCACCAGGAAGGCCACCCACTGTCTGACTGTGAGGGTCTTACAACGATCCGTTCCCGAGCCCTTTCCTTCTCCCCCTTTCCTCATCATCCAGAAAGTCACCGGGTCAGTCTGCTTCTCCTTCAGTGATCTTAGAGTCAGTCCCATTTTCTCTGGCCTCAGCTGTGTAGCCTGAGTTTGGGCATTGTCTCCTGGACAGCTGTACACCTCACCCCGCTGGTCTCCCCGACTCCCTGGCCCTGACTTCCTGCACCCCACTCCTCTACTTTGTCACCACCAGGTGGCCCAAGGCTCCTTCTGACACCTGAATCTGATCATATTCTTCCCAGTCTAGAGTTCTTCAAAGCCTCCCAATGTCCTAACCGTGTCCTAAGACCCTCCCATCAGAATCTCCTGGGAAACAGGTAAAATCATAGATTGCTGGGTCAGTCCCAGACTTTCCATATCACAATCTTTGGGAGTGGAACTCACGTTTTCTATTGGAAAGTCTCCCTGGCCTATAGAAGTGAAATGCCTTAGCATGCCCTACACGAGCTTCCATATTCCCCTGACTACACAGGAAGCTATGGGTGCCACAGGGCCTTTGCACAGAAGCCCCTCCTGGAAGGACTCGTCCTTTCCCCCTTGCCTGTCTGGTGGTCTCTAATTCTTCCATGTAGCCCGGGCCCCTCTGGACAAGGCTTGTTACCAAGTGTTCCACGGACCCGAGTGAGTCCTGCCTTGTGAGAGGAGATGCTGCCTTGTGAGCTTGAGGTCAGGGTTTCCTCGGGGACCGGGCATTGCCCTGATCGAGTATGTGACCATAGGCAGGGGGCTTGGCCTCTCGGCTCCTCAATTCTCAGCTGTAAGCTGAGAGCAATCATTGTGCTTCAACAGTGGAATTGTTATAGGACTAAATGAGTTCGTATTTGTGAAGCCCGTCGGATGTGCTTGCTACATGGTGCTCATAATATACAGGGTGGGGCAAAAGCAGGCTTACAGTTGTTCTTATGGAAAAATACAAATTAATAAATAACACTACAAGAATAAACTCCGTTTTGCATAGTCACAACTGCAAAGCCACCTTTGCCCACCCTGTGTATATTAGTGACTATCATTGCTTTCTCTCACTGTGACCTTTAATACTTAACCTCTACTTTCTCCCCGCGTCTCCCTGACTTCTCAGCTTTTAAGTGGCAACACCCTTCAGCCAGTGGTGCGGCCGCTGTCTGGGGTCCGTGCGAGGCAGGCCGTGAGGGGCCTCCCGGGAAGGGGGAAGGTGGCAAGGAGCCAGGATGGAGAGGAGAGGTGGAGAAGAACAGTGGCAAAGCCCGTGGCAGGTCAGTCCTGCTCGTGCCTGCTCGTGACCTTGGCCCCTGCTTGGTCCTGGGGACACGAGAAGGCAGTGACATTAATACAGGGTGTGTGCTGCAATCGACGAACGCAGAATGTGAGGGACCACAGCGGCAGGAGTCCACTATCTGCTTGGGGAGACAGTGTGTGTGGGAAGGATGGGAGGAGGGGTGTGAAAGAGGGGTGGGGCATTCGGTGGCCCTCGAAGAATGAGTAGGTGAGAGTGCAGGAAGGATGGACGGAGGTCTGGGGTGCTCGTCCCTCGGGGTTGGAGAGCGGGGCCCGGGTGAATATAAACTAATTCACGGTGAGGGGAGGGGGGCCTGAGGCCGGAAATAACTTCTAGGACTGGACCACAGGGTGACCGGATGGGCATAGCGTCCCCATAAGACAGGCAGAGCGATTAGGAGGAGGCAGGGCACTGAGCAGAAAGCAGGCCGCGTGGACTGACCGTGGGCCTGGGTTACAGTAGGCCGGTAACCCAGCTCTAACCCTAAGGGATGTTTGTGGGCGAGCCAGGCAACGCATGGCGAGGAGGAAGTCCAGGGCCCGCTTCCGGATTCGGGGGAGACAGTGCACAGTGCTGGGACAGGCTCAGCAAGACATGGAGGACCCTCCGAGCAAGAGGTCACTTGCAGCCAGTGAGGGTCCAGGCATGGGCAGGGGTCCCGGGGCAGCATGTCAGGCTTTGGGGACGGTGACGTGGGTGAAAAGGCACCCCAGGTGCGTGGCAGGATAAGCAAATGCTTAGAGGTAGGTGATGTGGGTGAGTTTAGGGAAGACTGACATAAATAAGGTGGGGGTCAGAAGGTTATAAGGAGGTGTGGCCTGGAGGCTGTGGCCGCCACCAGAAGTCGTCAGAGGGACCCGGGTTCCCGGTGGCTGGTGTGGCTTGTGAAGACATGCTGGGAGCCTGGGACGTGGCTGGGAGATCGTGGATGTGGCCCACCAAGCATGCCGAAGAGCTGTCTGAGGTGGGGGGCTCCTCGGGGTGCAGATGAGGCCACTGTGATGAGGGCGGAGGCTGGGGGAGGAGAGGGGGAGCAGGGGCTGCATCCTGCTGACCCCACGGGCACACCGGGCTCCCAGTGTCCTCCAGGATCGGGCTGCTGAGAAGCTGGGTGGTCAGAGCCGCAGGGATGCAGCTTTCCTGTCGCTGGGACACCACCGTGCAGGGATCTCCTCTCTGCCAGGGGCCTTAGCAGAGACAGATGGCAGAGAGGAAAGGACAGAGGCTGGGGACTCAATGGCCTGGGCCCGACGAGGCTGGGCCCTGCTGCTCATGAGCTGGGTGGTGTGGGCTGAACTGCTCACTCCCACTGAATCGTCTCAGCTGCAAAACTAGGCCACTTCTCGTCTACGGTGCTGTCAGGGTAAAGCACGCAACGTGAAGGAAACATCAACTGCTTGGTGTTGAGACGAACTCACTTTTATAGTCTGAGATTCCCCCCTCTCTAAAACGAGCTCATTTAATGTTTGCTGACTAAGAAATTACCGAGGAGATGGATGGGTGGAGAGGTGGATGGGTGGAGAGGTGGATGGGTGGAGAGGTGGATGGACAAGGTGGATGGGCGGAGAGGTGGGTGGGCGGGGAGGTGGGTGGGTGGGTAGGTGGGTGGGCGGGGAGGTGGATGGGTGGATAGATGGATGGACGAGATGGATGGATGGGTGGAGAGGTGGGTGGGTGGGTAGATGGATGGGTGGAGAGGTGGATGGGTGGAGAGGTGGATGGGTGGAGAGGTGGATGGGTGGAGAGGTGGATGGGTGGATAGATGGATGGAGGAGATGGATGGATGGCTACATGGCTGGATGGGTGGGTGATTGAACGGATGGGTGGATGGGAGGTTGTGTGGGTGGGCGTATGGATGGAAGGATAGTTTGTTGATTAATGGGATGGTTTGACTCAGGCCCTTTCCAAAGCAGAGGATGCCCTAAGGCCTCCCTAGTGCTTCCACCTCTGGGGTAGGGTGGATCCAGCCTGGGAAAGGCCGGGCGGCTCTGGGTTAACGTGAGCGGTAGACTCAGGGTGAGCTGGAGCAGAATCTGCAGGCCGGGAGGGGCGCGTGCGCACATACTCACAGCAGGTAGAAAGCCAGGCTTTTGAAGTGCCCCAGGAGGAAGGTCTCGGAGCCCACGCCGATCAGCACTGAGAGGGAAGAGGAGGGGGGAGTGGCAGGTGCGGAGTCACAGCACTGCCCAGCAGGGCTCCCTGGCCACGCACGAGCCTTTCCCCTGGGCACTGGGAGCCAGGGGAGGCTCTTCCCATGAGGCACAGAGATTGGTGGCTGGGAAGACACAAGAGAGCAGGGAGCCTTCTGAACCGGTCTCTGGAAACCAGTTTGATTTCAGGCAGAAGCCCAGAGGTCTTTTAGTCCAGTCTCCCCAGAGCACAGACGCCACCCCTCTCTGCCTGCTCTGGCGAGGCTACCGCCCGAGTGTCCCCAGAGACAGCCCGTGATGACGGGCACCACATGCTCTGCTCTGTAGCTGTCCTCGGTGTGTCCTGGTTTCAGGGGCCCTGCTGTCCTGCTGGCCTGTGCCATGCGTGCCATGTGTGCCATGTGTCTGGCTTCAGTGCTTGGCCAGGGTGGGACCTGCCTGTTCTCACTGTTTTCATGACCTCGTTTTCACTGGCTGGTTTGGCAGCTGCATCTCGCACCCTTGGCTCATTGCTTTGGCCCAGAGCGGATCCAGCCCTGGGCTTCTGCTCAAGAGGGCACACTGCTCGGCCCCGTCACCCTCCTGCCCTTTCTCGGCAGTTGGTGCTTAAACACTTGTGCTCAAACGCTTAACCTTGCACTTGGCCAGGGTGGATTTTGTCTTGGACCCACCTTTGCAGACTTGCTGGCTCCCTGTCATCTCCTCTTGGGGGCTCCCCTGCTCTCACAGCTTCACTCGACTGCCAGGGCTCGGACCCAGACCCATCCCCCCACTGAGGAGGACGTGTCACAGACCTTCTTGCAGGACCATGCTGGCCCACTAATCAGACCTCCTGGACCTAATCGATCGTACTCCATGCACCTCTCTCTGGGCTCAGGCGACACACCCTGGTATTAGCCACCGTGGTGTTTGCCGCCTTGTCCTCCCCACTCCCCCCAAAACTCAAAGGTGGCAGGATGGGTTGTCAAATGTGGCTGTGAGTGACCCTTTGTCTCTGCCGCTCACGAGCTGCTGCCCGGCCCGAGGCCTCCTCTCTTCCCCGCAGAGATGCTGCAGCAGCCTCCACCCCGGGTGGCCCGGCCCTGGGTCTGCGGGACAGCTGCCCTTGAAGTGCAGGGGCCCCACGCAGGCCGCCGCACCGCCCTCACCTCGGGGCCGGGGTGGGAGGGCTGCAGGGAGGGGACGGAGCACTTTGATCCAGGAAGGGCAGGGAGGCACCCAGGGGTTCTTAGTGATGGAGCTCCACCCGCTCCAGCGGCCAGGACCAGGGAGGCTGGTCAGCCACACCCCCCTCGTGTCCACACAACCCACAGAGCACTGGGTTCACACACGGCTCACACGTGTCCTGGCTCCCCATAGCAGCTCCGTGACACAGGAGGAAAACGAGGCTCAGCGTTACTCTTGCAAGGACACACTGCCAGAATGTGAAGGACCGACAGACCGAAAGTGACATTTCTGGCTGCAGGCGGTGGGCCGTGTCCTGGTTTTCATTGTCTTCCAGTGTCTGTGTGCAGTATGTGTGCGTGTGTGTTGTGTGCGGTATGTGTGTTGTGTGTGTGTGGTTGTGTGGTGTGTGTGTATTGCAAGCAAATGCTCATTTATTTAATTTCACTATGTATCCTGCCCTGTTCTCAGCACTTAGCATTTATTTACATATTTAATGATCACAACGTTTCCACGTGAAAGTCCTACGATACCTCATTTTCCGGAAGAGGAAAGTGAAGCACAGACAGTGTAGGCAGAACAAACAACCCACCAAGCACGGGTGCCCAGCGCAGGCCCTGCGTTTCGACCTGCCATCGGCTGACCCCCAGCCGAGTCCCCCAGTCTCGCTGGGCCTGCCTTCTCATGGTCTCCTGAGCGTGGTGACTGTAAGGCTTAAGTAAACGAACTGATGCCTGCACAAGTGCTGGATGAAATCGCTTGTTGATTCACATCAGAGTCTTTGTAGGTTTACGTGGGCTTGTGGCAAATGACCAGCAGATGGCAGGCCAGGGTCTTGGGAGCTAGGCTGGTCCTGGTCGTACACCCACTTGCCTGTGGAGAGCTACTTTGATGCCTATTGACTAAAACAAAGTGTCAATAGTCAAAGGAGCAGTAGAGAAACATTAGAGGCAGAACAGGTTGCAGTTTAAAAACATCAAAGTACTAACAGAGGACTGAGAGAGCTGGGTGGGAATCCCACTTCTCGTACGTGACCTCGGTGGAGTGCGTGAGTACTTAGCGCGCCTGAGCTGAGGCTCCCGTCTGGGAATGGGGGGAATGCACACCCCGCAGAGCTGTTGCTCGGATTGAGGGAACTGACCATCTGAAAGGCTTGGTCAGTGTCAGGTGGACGACACATGTGAGCTCCTTCCCCCTCCTAATTCGGACCTTGGCAGTTTCCCAGCCCCCAGCTAGTCCACTTTGCACCATGGGAAGTGGGGTCATCGCCCAAAGCTCTCAACCAGCCGTAGCCACGCTGGATTCTCCAAGCCCAGGGACAGAGGGAGTACCCTTTGACTGGAGGAGGAGGGCAGGGCCATTGGGTCAGGAGGTCCCTGTGGGGATCCAGTGGGAGCCTCATGGAAGCCCTAAGGTCCTTTGACACTGGGGTCAAGGGGTCGCCTGCTTTCTGCTTGATCCTCCCAGCTCTGCGGCTCACATTCTCAGAGGCAGACCATGCAAGGTTGAGCCAACGCTGACCAACGTGAAGTCCTTCCTTCTGCCCCCGCATCTGTCTGTCTGTCTGGGCTTCGACCCATGACCCTGCCCTGCCCTGGAGCTACTTGGCTGCCCTCCTTAGTGTCTCCGGGCAGCTCCTCCAGACTGTGCTTCTGTCTCGTGTTCTGTGTTTTCCTCTTGGGGTCACGCGGAGTCAAGCCCAGTGGTGGGCAGGAGTCAGGCACCGGGCTCCTCTCTGCAGATGCCTAGTCCAGGGGGAGAGGCATGATATGCACCGTGACTCAGAGGAAGAGAGTCCCACCTGAGTGCTCTGAGAGCCAGAGAGAGAAGGGCCGTCCCCGAAGGCGCTCCCCGGGGGGCGGGAGGGCAGGCCGGCCGTGGGCCCGCAGGTGGAGCAGCAGGGCCCTGCAGGGGGACCCTCCTCGCAATCTTCTTGTTTTCAATCCTCACCCGAGGACATTTTCCTATTTTTTGTTCAGGTAGAGTGGGAGGGAGAGAGAGAGAGAGAGAGAGAAACATCAATGTGAAAGGGACACATCGAGTGGCTGCCACCTGCATGACCCAACCAGGGCCGGGGACAAACTGCAACCGAGGTACGTGCCCTTAGCGGGAACCGAACCCGGGTCTCTCTGGACCGCAGGCCAACGCTCTAACCGCTGAGCCAAACCGGCCAGGGCCTGCCTCACAATCTTAACAGCAGGTTACTCCTGAAGCAGGGCACAGGGCGGGGTGACGGGCAGTCTGTGGACTGAGGCCAGATGGTGGATCTTCACACAGTAGGCAGGGGGTGGGGGGGCTGGAGTATCTTAGAGCAGCTGAGTGATATGTTCACAAAGCTCTGTGACCTCAGGCAGAAGGGGTAGGAGGCTTTGGCGATATTTGGCTAAGACTGCCTGGCACACGGAGGTGGTGGCTGAGGTACAGGACCTGCTTGGTGCTCCTGGCCCCCTCTCCCAGCACACTGGTGGCCTCTCGTTCCTTTGCTGGTCTGGCTCGGAGCACAGTCTGGCTGTGGTTCCTACGGGTGCCCAGGTGACTGTTCGTCTGCTTGCAGGGCGGGGCGCCCACAGAGAGAGGGTCGCTCTGTCTGAGGGTCCAGACAAGGACAGTCTTCAGGCACAGAGAAGAAGGGCACGCGCTGCTGTTGCATGACTTCTATTGCCTTTTTCTGGGTATCGGGAGCAGAGGTGGCCACAGGCGACCGCAGACGTGGGTTAGGCAGCGCTCTGGCTGTGCCACCTCAGCTGTGTCTCACCGAGCCCCGCGCTCTGGGCTGCGGTGGCCCCTGCACGCGCCCTGGCCCGCTGCACAGCACTCCTCAAGGTGCACTGTGGGCCCATGTGATTCATGGGAAACTCCAAGCCAGCGTCCTGGAGGCGAGCACCTTGGCCCGGGCACACTGGCAGTAAGGGGCAGGGGGAGGCGGGATCGAGACCGATTCGTAGTGGTTCCGAGGTCCCCATGGCAGAAGTTGGGGAAGGACTGTTGAGAACGGTGCGGGTGGGGAGTCTCAAATGAATGAGAGCGGTGTCACCACAGGCGGTGGACCGTTGCATTGCCCAAGTCCAGCTGTGAATAAATTTTTGTAATGCTTTTATCAGAAAGAGGCAGGAAACAGCCCCTTCACGGCCTCAGTGACCATTCCGGTGCCCAAGCTGTACCTCCCGCTGCGCGTGGAGCAAAGGCCCTCAGCCTGGGCACCGCTCTCTTCTGACTGTCACAAGTGGTGCTGCCCAAGGTCCAAGTCCCCAGGAGTGAGTCCACACTCACGCACAGCACACCTTTCGTGCCAGCCCAGGTAAAGTACCGGGTACAAAGCAAATAGGTGTCAGAACCTGGGGCCAGTGCCAGACCCAGGAAGCAGACGCTGCGGGTGGGAACAGGCCGCAGCCGGGAGAGGAGGGCGCAGGCTCGCCTGCCTGGGAACGACATCCCTGCAGAGGCCGAGGCCCCCGTGCCGGAGGGCGGCGAGCACGAGTGAGGGTGAGCTGAGATCCCGCCACTGCGTTATAGCACAGGGCCCTCTCCGGACTCCTGGGCTGGCGAGCTGTCCGGCCGCACCGCGAGACTGGCAGTGTGGCCTCCTGGGCCCACCCCTCACGTCCTCTTTCACCTCATCCCGCCCTCCCAAGGGAGCCAGCCCACTGAGGAAGCTGTGCCCTGTGCCCCGGGAAAGCCCTGCATGGGCGGTCTGCATGCAGCCAATCACCCCGGGGACACTGCTTCCGCAAGATCTTACTCTAGTCCCCAACTCTGTTCTCCCCAAGGGTCTCCCGAGGTTGTGCCAGTTAACATCGCTAAGGTAAGTGAGCCAGAAATAAT